ACACGAGGCAGCCCTCTGAGTGCAACCCGGACTGCAGAACAGTTTGGTTTTTACCTGCATTTCTTCCCAGCAACCCTTCGGTTGAAGGGACCCTATTGCTTTGCAAGCCTGAAGCGTTACCCGACTTTTCATCTGCCTGCAGGCTCCACAGGACTGTTCGTCCTTGACTAAACAAATGTTATTCAAGCCCTTCTTTCATCAGACAATACAAATAGTATCGTAGCTGAACATGTTTGCTATGCAGTTCTGTGATGCTGAAGCTTTCGGATGTGCTGAGATTTGGATGACCGTTAATAAAAACATGTATAAAAATATATATCTCATAATGTGTAAGCTATAAAACAGTTGTCATTACAGGCAGCTAAAGCTCAGATCTATCACAGGCACATTTAAATGTTATTTTTAAATAGTAAAAGGTATTTAATAAAACTTGATATTTTTTTTAGTGTCTTTTGATAATTGCATGCCGTTTAACAGTGTTTCCTCTTGTATTTAGTGTATTATTATTTTTCTCCCTCTTCTCCCCCCACCAAAAACATGGTGCCTTTCATAACTGCTATAGCACCTTGATTGTAAGAAAAAGACCATTAAACATCTATAAACATCCCTCCCCAAAGCGTGCCGCTACCAAGTCTTTGTTTGAAAGTTGAAATGCATTACCCTGGTCTGGAGAGGCTGTGGCTCTGACAAAGGGATTAGAGGAATGCACGTTAAGTATTTATAGCAATCATTTGTAACGTGGGTAGTTCTCGGGACAGGGTTGTCCCCAGTGAGCCTGGTGACAGGAGACATGGCAGCCTTGTTTGTGTGACTGTGTGCATTCGCAGTCTCGTGGTAGGTGAGAGCTGGCTGGAGACACAATTACTGGTGATGGTGGCGGCATCATGTTTGTCAGGAATCCCTTTGGGCTGTCAAACTCCTTCCAAAGAAAATATAACGGATGATCAGCTCGGGCTCCTTTGGGCTTCATTCAGGAGCAGGAGCGCTGTGTGATGAAGGATTAGAAATGTGGGGTGAAAGGAAGGAGGCACAGCGAGCAGTGAAGGACAAAGTAGGAGAGGCAGGGCTGGAGGGTGAGAGAGGAAGGACCTGTGGCACCGCAGTGTGTTTGTAAGGTTTTCTGCAAGAAGTTTCACGGTGTGCACCTCTGTCCTGTGTGTTTGGAAGTGCGCTGGAAGCCCTCTCTAGTCTGCATTACCCATTTTCTACTTCGGTTGGAAGCAGCCAAATTGCTGCCAAGGCCAAAATTTGTTCCTGCTCTCAAATGGATGGGGAGTCTGCTTGAAGGGACCATTTAGAAGGGAGTCACAAATCACCTCAGCAATATTCCATTTCACAGATTTATTTCTTCTGGTGACTGAGATTCCAGTGAGGAATGGGCATAGATGGGCTGGGAGTTTCATGATTTTTCTAAATGGCTTCATGGCTGCTTTTCCAATTTGGGAATACACGTGTATGTTAGAATAAATGAAAATATTTCTATAATGATAAGTAGGTATAAGTGGAAAGACACTCTTCATGTGTTATCTAACCATATGTGGAAAAAAAAGAAACGAAAAAACCTCCTTCTTGCATTGCCATGCGTCTCCTGCTTCTGCTGATTCACGTCTGCATTAGGACCACGTGGGCAATTTCCTGCTGGCACTTCTTTGTTCAGGCAGCCCCTGCTAAATATACCTGTTTGGATAAAACAAAAGCTGGGAAATGAAATAAATTAGCTGGTGCCTTTTGGAGCGGCAACGGGGTTTTTTTGTTCATGTGAAAGGGATGTGGGGGAGTGGTGGAGGGAGAGATTAATTTTCTGGCTGGTTTCACTTATTGTGCACGTTATTTGGTTCTTCCTGATAAATTCATACGAAGCAGCCTTTCCGCTTTGAAGCTTTTTAGTTAAATAATCTGTAAGAGTAACGAGGAGGAAACACTGGTTTGTGCGGCCATGTGAATGGAGCAGTCGGGGAAGATGTTTAGTTTGCTCTGCAAGCAGGATAGTAGGTTTGCTATCTGCCACTGCCTTGTGGCCATTCCTCCTCTGATGTGGAGGGTATGCTTCCTAGGCACACACAAAACCATTTGTCAAAGTCTTTTAGCTCTCCCCAGTTTACCTCTTGCTTCCATCTGTCTTCTTTGTCAGCGTTACAGCCTGAAATCAAAGGCCAAACTCATCTGAGAGCCAAGGGATTTGTCTGTTTAATTTGATCTGCCGCACCACAGAGTGGGAGCAAAACGCGCTGCCCGAGCAGGCAGTGCATGCACGAGAGGCACTGTACCCGACCAGTGCTCGCGGGGGTCCGACCGGCGCTGCCAATCGTAGTTCAAAGTCCGAGCTGCACCAGGGCTGCCCGATGTGTGCAGTTGGTGTTCTGGCTGGTGCCACCTCGTTCTCTCTTAGGATGTAAAGTGAAAGTCTGAACTTTGGATGTCTAGGAGTAAACACTTACTACCGGCTGTCCTAGTCCCTGCTTTTATGTCCTCAGCGGAAACGCAGAGATCACTGTTTGAGGAACCATACTAGGAGAGGGCACGCTGGCCTAATGGGTTGAACGTCAGCAAGAGTTGCAAATAATCCTGCCAATACACAAAGTCAGCGGGAAGCCGTCGGGTGAGCACAGTGTCTTCTTCCTATTCAGAGCAGGGTGGAGATGAGGGTGACCCAGGGTTTGTGCATTGACCTGGACGGTCCCGTGATCAGCTGCTTCGGTGGCTGTACACCACTGAGTAACAGGAGCAGCGTGGAGGAAAAGTGATTTTTAGTTTGGCTGCAGAAATTTTACTGCAGTTCATGTGCTGATTTTCACCTACGTAGGATAATCTGGTGGTTTTTTTGAGTCGCAGCCACCACTTGAAGGTTCAAACTTTTCCTTGTAGAGCTGCTCATGGGGTTTTTCAGGTTACCACGGCTTAACTTTGTAGTGAAAAATGCACTTATTCAGTAGCTGCCCTGTATGCAGCCGTCTGTAGTGTTTTGGGATGGATGGTGGTCTGAAAGCATGAAGAAATTATGATTTATATTAGTGGTGTCTCCAAAGCGTCAGTGTGTGGATGGAGAGATTTTGTTCAGAACCCTTCAATTTCTCCAGCGTGTATCACCATCTGTCATCAGTTACTTGGCCTGGCTTTAATCTGGTATCACTTGAACTATAAAATGCTTTAAGACATTTGCCAGCCTGTCGGCTATCGGGCATAGAAAAGATAGATTTTTTTTGTTTTTAAACTGTGTCATTTAATCATAAGAATATGCTCACGTTTAAAACTGGCAACAGGCACCATTTCACCAACGAAATACAAAGTTTGGGAAGTGTCTGGAACAAGGGATGTTTCCTTCCCGTCCCTAGCCAAAAATCTGTTTCGTAGACAGATAATCAGATTGTCTGTCCAGCCTCATGCTCTGATAGACGCACACTGTGATGAACCTTGGCAATGAGATATTCACTCTCCAGTGGTATTAGCACAGCAAGGAAAGGATGTCATTGCATCTGATCGGTGTAAATTAAGGTCCTCCGTAACGGAAAATATCTCAGCACCCCTCATGTGGTCACTTCCATTTTCCTGGTCTTAATACCGGTGGTCTCTTGTTGTTTCAGTCTATCTGAGGCCAGATGAATGTCTCATTGCTGTTCACTGTAAAGCAAAGATGACTGGCAAGAACAGGAATACAGGGCTTAAATAATTTATAGCTTCATGCATGCATTTAAACACAAACTAGAAGAAAAGTAACTAAGACTCTTTCCATTCTTGTCACATCACCCTTCTGTAGCCTTAACTTTTCTGTGGCAGATGGAAGAACATAACCACAAATATGTTTGCAGAAGACGCTGAAGTATTTATGTGGCATGGCATGCGCACCCAGTAGCAACTTCCTTTCAACAAGAAACACAGATGAAAGCTGTCTGCAAATGTTATATGTAGATGAAATTCCATATACCACTTTAAATTCTAATTTTGCATGCAATAAAAGCTCCCAATAGCAAATGGAAGTATTAACCACATTTTAGAAAGAATGCCGTCTGAGGCTGCTGATCCTTTCTCAGCTGGTAGTGTCTCTGTCCCACAGAGGTAGAATGTAAGCCCTGACACCTGGCAGATAAGCCTTCAGGATTTTGAATATCTCATCCAAGGCGACTGTGAGCCTCCCGTTTCCCTCGTGCAAAAGATGGAGGTGGATACCCAGCCATTTTGTGTAAAAAGGGATCCTAAGGGAAAAGCTTTACTAAATGATACAGGAGGAAAATAATTAAATAGATCCTCTCCTGAGACTGTGGGAGAGTGCTGTGATTTCACAGCTCAGATGCGGTGGGCTTTGGTCCCCTTCTGCCCAAATATGAATTGTGCCTGTATCACAAACGCTTAAAGTCCCATTCTCGTGCTTACCAAATCCTAAAACGATGTTTTAAATAGTTTTAGGATCCACCAAGTGTTTAAATAAGCAGGGATGTCAGGGTGTGTAATGATAGGATGGAAAATGTCAGGGATGGGTGTGAGCAACATACTGAAAGCAAATTACCTCTCTTCTTCGGTCTGTCACCAGTAGTGGAAAAATGTAAATAGTGTGTCCATGGACTGGGATTTTCAGGGGCTGCAGAAACCTAATGCCTTGCACTGCAAATTAGAGAGTGAAGGGGCGAGGGGAGCTAATACACGTGTCTAAGGCAAACGAACAAGTAAAGCCCCTTGTTTATAACCAGCGCTGCATCCTGCTTGCCTCTCCTGATCAGTCTGTAGAGCAAATTGGCATCGGATCATTCAGGCTGATGGACTTGGAAAGGGGTAGGGCTGTTGAGCTGCATCTGTGGTGGACGGCAGGCATCACTGCCCTACATCCACAGGCTGTCTCCCCTTTCGCTGTCCTCTGCCCAAAAGCTGTAGTTGATGTGTGTGGCTTGGCCCAGGTCCCCCCATCCCGTGCTAGACCAGAGGGCTGATAGAAATCACTGTGCTGAAGTGCTGTATCAGAGAGGGGACGCTTGGCAGCAGGCTCGTGGAGGCCGGGCATCTGCTTTTCCTCACAATTCATCTCGTTCTTCCTCACTGCAAATGCAGGCGCTCCTTTGGCTGTTCATGAAAGGCCGACAACCCAGGGTCCAGACGGCATTGAACACTGTGTCTGCGACGGATTCACAAGCTGCGGAGAAGGAAAAGATCAGGCAGGTAAGTAACAAGTGAAAGCACCCTAGCCTGAGTCCTGCACTGAGTTGTGTGGTATTTGCAGTTGGAAGCGTGGGTTGTCTTTTTTTCTCTGGGTATTGCATTTTTATAAATCCAGAGGTTCCCTTCTGCTGAACTGGAGGCTCTTTTCTCCCTAGGGTGGCACTAATCTGGCACTAACTTCTCTCCCCTAACCTCCCTCCTTTCTTGCCTCTCAGGCTTTTCTGGTTGATGGATCATTTGGGGCACTGCAAATAGCACTGTTTACCAAGCAAATTTCCCAGAAGACCTCTACAGCACAGTCTTTCCCGGCTCCCTCTCCCCACAGCTGCCTACACCACTACTAACCAACCTTTTCTGATTTTTGGGAGTTACAATGCTAGCTGCCCGCCACAGCAGCAGGATGCTGTGATGAAAAATCCTACTGTGGTTGCAGCAGCGGAGCTGTTGATACGGTCTGTCTGACTCCTAGCCCCTCCTCTTCCCAAAAAACAAGCCTGAAACTGTTTGTCAATAAATAAATAGGTTAATACCAGGTCTTTTAGGGTTTGCTCACTGGCACTAACACTGATTGTTTGTTCGTGTAATAGATTTGGGAAAGCCCTGCCTTTGGGACTGTCTCTTCCCGTCTCAGTCTCTCAGACCACCTCGTTCTGCTCCTGCTGCTTTAGGAGTCTGCTCGGCTGGCAGGCGTTGGAGAGGCTGTAGTGAGTCAGTGGGAAAATCGAGGCTTTGGTTAACTGGCGCTGCTGCAGCTGGGATGTTTGTGCCCACGTGAAGGGAGTGCAGCTGCTCTTCCCCTGCCTGCTTTCTCTGAACTCCCAGTGACTTAGTGGAAAGGATCCCAGATGAGAGCTGGGATGGCAGTGGAGGAGGAGGACTGCGTGACAGGAGCTGCTCAGAGCAGCCCTGAGGACAGGGAGCGGCAGGTATAGAGCACAAGGCAAGAGGAGGCAGAGCAAGGGGAGTAGAGGATGGCTCAGAGCTTCGTTCGTGTTAGCAATACTTGTGCCTCCTGCAGCAACCAAATCAGAGATGCTGAGGAATCTAGTCCTACTTGACTATAGGCAGAGGTGGCTTGGTTTAGCCAAGGAGTGTGGGCTCTGCTCCACCTTAAATGCCTAGGATCTGCCTGTTGGCTTCACTGCTGCAGGCAGAAAAGGAAGAGGAGTGATCTGAAAAATTGGCTGGGGAAAATCTCAAGAGATAGGAAGAGGTTGGCTGCAAGAGGACCTGTAGATAAAAGTGACCATGAAAGATTGGCTGTACTTGGCCTGGAGCACTTATATCTCAGTCCACATCTTT